ATTTATTTATTCAAACAAATAAAAAAATTATAAATAATTTTATAATATTTTGAAAATTATATTATTTTAAACTTAAAGTCAAACAAAATTATAATCATATTATCATTGTTAAACAAATTTATTTTTGTATAAAATTATAGTAAAAAATTTGGCCCTACTAATTTGAATTTTTGAATCTGTTACACGTTACATACAAATTACAACATATTTTCTTCTATTTCCTCTTTATCTCATTTATCTCTCCTCTCATACTATATTATTTTTGATTAATTTTACAACACATTATCAATACGAAACTATATTATATGATAATTACGAAACTATATTATATGATGATGACTAATTGATTCGAGACTATATAGTTAGAATTCATCTTCATTTATGTAGTTATAAATATTTTGTATATAATATAGCGTTAAAAGTATAAATCATAGTAGAGAACATAAATCAAAATTTAGGAAAAATTTTAGACAAAGTAAAATTGGCCAAAATAAAAAAATATAATTTAAGTAGAATTAATTTTTGGATATGTAGTCTGAATATTGTAGTTGTATGTCCCTAATACATTAAAGGGGAGAACCTAATACGATTAATTTTTTTTTTCATGTTTTATAACTTTTATTTTGATTTACTTTTGATTATTGAGTCTGTTTCATGATTACACCTCTTTAGATCAAGTTTTAAAATGATTAGTTTTTAACTTGCATAAACTATTAGTTAGGTTTGAACTTGATCATGATGTTTTTAATTAATTGTATGAGTCAATGGTATAAAAGTCATATATGTTATTGATTCAAGTTAGGTGGAAAGAAAAATCTCAAAATCTTTTAAAAACTATATATGAAAAATTGAGATTTTTGGTGTTTGATTCGAATCACTTTGGGCAGAAACAAACTAGAAATTTTCAAAGAATTCGATTCGAATAAGATTTTACAGATTATTCGAAGCAGCCAGCCTTCCTCTACCAAAATTGATTCGAATCAAACTTTACACCTGATTCGAATCAGACAATTTTCCACATTTTTCAGTTGGCCTGACTTGATTGATTCGAATCAAAATTAACACATGATTCAAATCACGGAGTCTTTGATTCAATTCAGACTTTGTTCCTGATTCAAATCAACTAAAAAATGATTAAAAACTCAATTTTTATTTTATTTTCCTTTACTTGTTTCAGTTGATTCAAATCATGAAATGATATTGATTCAAATCTAACTAACTTTTCAACCATATTTTATACTTAATCTCAAGCTCATATAAAAACTTTTTGTCATCATTTTTCATGTAACAAATAAAAAAATTTCATATTCATTTTTGTGTGATTCTGTGAAAAATCAATACTCATGTTTTTGAAAATTCAAATTCTTGCAACGGAATTCTTACATCTTCAATTTCAATTTGATATTAGATCTTGATAATGAGAGATTTATAATTGACTGAAGGAGACACATTTTTGAAACTAATCGTTCTTGAAGATTTGATTGAGTTTTTTAGGTAGTTTGCAAGATTGAAGTTGTTGTCATTGCTGCTAACAAGTTCCATAAAAAAGATCAAATTTTTCTCTTCATATTACCTTGGTAGTAACTATGTGGAAGGCTACGAATAAGACATAGTTCTTCTCAAATCTTCGAACAATTCATCGCTCAAAGAATCAATAGGATCAATAGATTGATTGCTACACACGAAGGCTTGGAACAGATTGGTGATATTGGAATATTCAAGAATCGTCAATCGAGTAAAGATTACACAAAAGAGATTGACATTACGATATATATAAGTCAAGATCCTGATAGGAGATTTTATAATTCTAAGCATTATTATGGATTGGTGAATGTATGAACTCTTGCAAATATTTGTTAAGTAAAAATGAACAATTCAGGTTCCAATAGAAAACCAATGAAGAGTGTACGTAGGCAAAGCAAAGACGAATGTCAAAGCATTATAAATCTTGATGCCATCTCTCTCCTTAGTCTTGCATTCAATTTTTTTTTATAGTTTTTGCATGTTTAGGTATTTCAATTCTAAGGTAGTTTATCGTTTATTCGATTGGTATCGATTTATTAAGTAAGTCTATGTTTTATTAGAATTGGTGCCTAATCTAGTTGCATTGGCGATTAAAATCTAAGAAGCAATTGAGGTTAAAATTTATTATCATTGAATAATTGTATAAACACACCATGTAGAATATACAACTAAATCAATCGTATACCTTTATGTACCATTACGAAAACTATTTGTGGTGTTTGTTAATCAATTTAGTGTTAACGTGATCAATTTTCGAAAAGTATAATATTTATATTCTCGCTTCAAACCTTCTGTACGCACTTTTGAAAAATATCTGATATTTAGTTTTTGAAAAAATGGTTGAATATTTCAATAAGAGTATATTTACCCCCTCTACACTGTTTCCTACTTCCATATTTTCACCCAACAAACACCTCAAGGTGTGAAATCAATTGGATATAAATGAGTTTTTGTAAAAAAATTGAAATAATAATGATAAAATCGTGAGATACAAAACTTGATTTGTTGCTCAAAGATTTTCACAAAAACCTAAAATTTATTTTGATGAAACACATTCATCAGTAGTGGTTGCATGTGATTTTCAATATTAATTAGTTTTGTAGCACATGAAGAACTTATTTTATATATGATAGATGTTGTAATGAATTATTTGTATTACTCACTCGATAGTCAAAATAAATCATTTATATTACTCAATAAATGGTTTAATTTATCTAAAACACATAATTTTGGATCTCTAAAAGGCTATTATATAAAATTAAATAAATCTCTCTATGAGTCAAAATAATTTTCTTAGCAAATAGTTACTAATAGATATATATACAAATAAGTTTATTTTGTTCTTGTATTTTTGTGAAAAGATCTAGATTTTTTTAAAAATATAACTCCTATTTATTTTGATGACATAAAGATTATTGAAACTCTGGAAGAGTTTTCAAAAACTATAAATTACTTTGAGAGAAGAACTTGTAAATAAAAAAGTTTTTTCAAGAATTACTAATTGAATATTTGTACAATGAAATTTTTGTATAATGAAAAACTATATAAAAACGTAATAAAATATTTTTATATGGACAAATCTTATTTATTGTCTCCCACAATAATTGTTAGATTATTAAATGTTAATATGATTCTTTAAGATCACAAGAAGAGAGTGAAAAGATACTTGCTCCATATGATTTGAGCACCATATATCTTACTAATTGTATACGTTGCGACATATCAATTTATGTTAATCTATGAATATGATATAATGATATAGTTGCGACATATCAATTTATGTTAATCTATAAATATGATATAATGATATAGTTGTTCGCCTACACAAAAATATAAAGATGGAAGGGAATCAAACATATAATTTGTTATCTTAGTGATGTAAGTTACTTGTCGGATTTTCATAATAGCAGATAAAAAACATGTTTTCTTAATGGTGGTACAATCATTTCATAAAAATTATTTAAATAAGTCATACACAAATAGAATTGTTAACCAACCACTATAAAAGACTCATCTCTTCATCATTGAAGAGATGGTCATTTAGTTGAGGGGAGAATAAATATATCTTAAATTAATTCTTAAAAAAATAATTATACTCTTTTTTTTATTATATTTTTTTCATTACATTTTTAAATAAAATTTTAATATTTTAATGAGGTATATCTTTGAAAAATATTTAAAAAAAAGACTGTTATGGATAATACATTATTGAATGTTCAGGTTCTGTTTGATAAAAATAGTGGTTGACTGTTAAGCTAACTTATAGTTTATGATTAATGACGAATGATTGATAACGGATAGTTTATAGTTTATAGTTTATAGCAGATGATTGATGACTGATAACTAATAAGCTAATTGAAGCGTCGGGTAAAATTAATGGTTCAACTATAAAATGACATAAATGATATTTAATATATATTTTGTTTTATTTTAAACTAAAATAAATTATAAAGGATAAAAAATAATTTTTGTTAAAATAATAAAAATTAAAATGAAAAAAAAATGATAAACTATAAGCTATAAGTTAAAACGCTATTTAGCGACTGAAAAATAAAATATAAACTAGTAAATAAATTATTAGTCCGTGATAAAATGACCCTTACCAAACAGATTTAAATTGTCATATGAACTTATAAAATATAAACTATAAATCATAACCTCAAAATCGGAAGTTACAATAAACTTCCACTAAAAAATACTAATTAATTCTATTAATGTATACTATATTTTTATGTCATATGTGTCTTATAAATAAGATTCAAATTATAGTTTTAAGATGCTACGAGTAATATGATATATTTCCTTCTTATCTTCTCTTTATCTCATTCCTCCGTACTCTTATACATTACATTAATTTTTATTAACTTTATAAGAAAGATAAATCCAAATATGATTCCAACTAGCTAGTCAATTAATATTAAGATGAGAATTGAGAACATAAGTGCCGACGTTAATTAACTGAGTAAATCTGGCATGGACTCCATCCATAACGAATGCGGTGACCTCATTATTAATCTTCCACTAATATAACACACATATATTTATTTCTTTGATTAGTCTTAAACTCTAGTCCTTCTGGACTTTTCCAATTCTCCTCAGCTCCTTGACCCATATATAGGAAAAAAAACTATCGTCAAAAATAAAGAACGGTCGTACAAATAAAATTTGGTAAATAAGGTTTGATATTTGTGGCACTAGGTCATATTCGTAATTTAGACATGTTAAAAGGGGAGTATTCATTATGCCAAATAGAGAATAAAAGCCATCACTGAAAAATGAACCCCACAGCTATCGTAATCCAATACGTCACATTATCGTAGCGAAAGACGAATAGTCAACGCTCTTGTTCCCCACGACACACCCATAAATAAAACCCACAACACCCGTTTCACATTCCACACTCCAACCACAAACACAACAATCAACAACAACTATAAAAACACATAAACACATAGAGAGAGAAACATAGCAATAACATGAAAGAAATGAAACTAGTTTGGTCCCCAGAGAGAGCTACTAACTCATACATCGACACGGTTCAAGCTGTAAGCACCACTCACTGCCACCTTTCCAGCGAATCCGGCGTGGCGGAGCTGCTATCCGCTATGGCGGCGGGATGGAACGCGCAGCTCATAGTTGAAACATGGTCACGTGGCGGAGTTATTCCAACCAGTCTTGGTTTATCCATAGCGAGCCGTCACACAGGTGGAAGACACGTGTGTATAGTTCCTGATGAACGGTCGAGATCTGAGTATGCAAAGATCATGAGAGAAGCAGGTATGTCGCCGGAAATTATGGTTGGTGAACCGGAGGAAGTGATGGATGGTTTAGTCGGAATAGATTTCTTGGTTGTTGATTCTAGAAGAAAGGATTTTTCAAGAGTATTGAGGTTAGCGAAGTTGAGTGGTAGAGGTGCTGTGTTGATATGCAAGAATGCTAATTTTATTTCCAAGATGGATTCTAGTTATATATGGCGGAGCGTGGTGGCGAAGGGATCGAGACGGCTGGTTCGTTCGGTGTTTCTTCCGGTGGGGAAGGGACTTCATATGGCACACTTATCGGCTGCTGGTGGCGGTGAGAACTCTTCTTTGGCGATGAAGCATAAAGGAAATGTTATTCCTAACCGATGGATCAAACATGTTGATCAACGGTCAGGGGATGTTCACTTTATTAGAAAATGAAAACAGTTCTTCCTTTTTGTAAATATGTACGGTGTAATTGACAATATCCTAACATATATATACTTTCATGTAACTAGGTAAAAAGAATCTCACCTATCACATTTATCTACTCATAGCTTCCTATTCTCTTCTAGCTTCACCTTAATGTATCACAAATTTGTTTATTATCTAATTTTAACAAGATAAAACCATTAGTATGTTTTATGAGTTATCTTTTAAGAGTAATGTTATCTATAAATTGTTGAATGATTCAAGGTTTTAGTTGTTACTTGTGACACAAGCAACATGGTAGTTTTTGTTGTTATTTTCTAACTTTCATAAATAAATTGAAAGAACGAGGTATGTATTCACACTATTCAAGAGATTTAAATTACATGTTAAAAAATAACGTGAATGTAATATTAAAAAATTGAGAATCGATGGTGGAGGTGAACACACCTATCTCTAAATTGCAAGATTCTGTAATTAAAAAGGCATAATGCATGATATCATTGTACCTTATACACTGCGACACAATTGAGATGAAAGCTAGATGATAGAAGTAAAGTTACGGTCTTTATAGGTTATCATTTAACTATTGCTTACAAGTTGTATTCACCAGATGAGGATAAACTTGTGATCATTAGAGATGTTCAAGTAGACGAGAGCAAGAGTTGGAACTGGACTAAAAAAATCAGTTCAAAATGAGTAAGATACAATCAGAAATATGTATGGAGATGATCAAAAAAATGAAGAGATGTATGCTCAAGGTGGAGGATCATCTAAACTAAATGTTAGAAGGTTTACTAGAACAAGAACTAAATCAATAAGACTAACTAATTATAAAAGATTTTTAGACCAAGAAATCGGCGCAAAATGTGATATGATAGAAAGGATAATGATGCTTTAGTCAGAGTTAATTGATTTTAATCAAGTAATGAATGATTCAAATTGGTTGGAAGCTATGCAAAACGGGCTTAGAGAAATTGAAAGAAACAAGACCAAGGAGTTCATGGACAAATCAATCAAGAAGTCAATTGATGTGAAGTGGGTATATAAGTTCAAATTTAGACCAAATGGTGAGACAACTAAGTACAAGGCCAAACTAGTGGCCAAAGGCTTCTTGGAAAAACCTGATATTGAATTCAACGAGGTCTATACACATGTTGCAAGATTGGAGACCATAAGAATTGTTATGGCTATTGTAGCATACCAAGGATGGAAGATACATCAATTGGATGTAAAAGCGGCATTTCTGAATGAACCATTAGAATAAGAGGTATGTGAACCACAAGTTTTTGAAATTAAAGGACGAGAACTAAAAGCGTACATGTTGAGAAAGACCTTGTATGGATTGGAACAAGCTCAAAGAGCTAGGAATAAAATAATATATGGTTTCCTGATCAGGGCAGGATTCATAAAATGCACTTTAGAGCATCGAGTGTATGTCAATGATGCAAACGGGCTCTGTTAAATCACTTTATGTTTGTATGTTGATGATTTTCTAATTACAATATCAGGTGAAAATGAGATCATGAAGTGCAAGGCTAAATTGATGCATGATTTTGAAATGTTTGATTTAGGGAGCTTGTCATATTTCGTCGGGACGGAGTTCAAAGACACAAGTAAAGGAGTTTTCCTGAACTAAAACAAGTATGCTAAAGACATCTTGAAGAGGTTCAAGATGAGAAATTCTAATACAGTAGTCATGCCATTGGAGATAGGAGCTAAATTGAGAAAGCATACAAATGAAAAACTTGAAAATTCAACATTGTACAAGCAAAACATTGGATCCTTGAGGTATTTATGCAACACTAGGCTAGACATTTGTCAAAGTGTTAGGTTTGTGAATAGATTCATGGAGAAACCCTCAATAATGTTATCTAGTTGTAGTCAAGAGAGTGTTAAGATACATAAAGGGCAAAATTGAGCATGATGTGTTAATGCCAAGACAGAAGAACACCAACACAAATGCAGAGGTACGTCGATACACTAATTTTGATTTTAATGGAGATCAAGATGAGAAGAAGAGTATTGTAGGCTACCTATTCATGATTAGAGGTGCTTCAATCTCTTGGAGTTTAAGGAAGCAAGGAATAGTAGCAATATAATCTTGTGAAGATGAATATGTAACAACTTCTTATGTTGTATGTCAGGCTTCGCAGATAGAAATGTTGTTAGAAGAGCCCAAAATCATTGAACCTAATAAAAGGGAAACTGGAGCTTGAGTATTACAAGTTAGAATTGCAGTTAGCTGATTTACTTACAAAGCCATTGAAGAATACAAGGTTTGATGAGCTAAAGGAAATTATTGGATTGAGAAGTTTAGAAAAAATGAATTAGGTGGAGTATATAATATATGTAATTCACGGTTTTAGTTGTTACTTATGACACAATCAATGTGGTTTGTTTTGAAAGTTAGTTAATGTATATGACTGGGGACCAACTTACTCCAAGAGTAAGTTTGTTTAACCTACTCCACATCATAGCCTTTGATTTGAATATAATATAATGGTTATTTAGTCAAAAGGCTAATTTAACCATTAGATTGGAGTAAGTTAAAAAACTTACTCTTGGAGTAAGTTGAATATAATATATATGTGTGTGTGTGTGTGTGTGTGTGTGTGTGTGTGTGTGTGTGTGTGTGTGTGTGTGTGTGTGTGTGTGTGTGTGTGTGTGTGTGTAGACACACACACACACACTGAGAGAGAGAGAGAAGGAGAGAGAATCAACTTATTCCAAAAGTAAATCTTTTTAACTTACTCCAAATCATAACCTTTGAATTGAATCTAATCTAATGGTTAATTAAGTAAATTTCCTAACTAATCATTAGATTAAATTCAATTCAAAGACTATGATTTGGAGTAAGCTAAAAAAAACTTACTCTTAGAGTAAGTTGATCCCCACTTTTATATATATTTTATGATGTAGAAACTGGTAACTCCTTCCTCTCTTAAATAAACAACATCATTCTATTTACGATCAACTTATTCTCTCTTCTTTCTTCACTCTCAAGAAAACTCAAGATTGTTCAAACATAAATGTTTGTGTTAGATATAATAGAGATTGATTGAATATTGTTGCATTTGAGAAATTTATCAATAAACGGTGAATTTATGATGATTACTTTGCCAATAATGTCTATATGAGTTGGGGGTATGGATCATTTTGCCACATATGATTGAGATTGGTGAAGTTTATGCATATCTTCTACTTTCTCGAGGACTTTTCACTATCACGATGTGACCTGGTATATAGGATGCTTATATTCATTTATAAATCTGACTTCATTCTCTTTTTTTAAACTTCCACGTCAACAATTACTTTTCTCTCCTCATTCATTTTCATAATATTTATTTTTTGGTGGTGTTTAGGGCGAGGATATGACATATAATATCTGCATCTATTTCTTGCATATTAGAATAAACCCACATTTTTATGTAGCGTGTTGTCATACCCTTATTTTTAAGCCTAAGATTCTAACTAATTTTCTTCATTTGCATAGCACCAACCACCTTTTATGTGTGTCTTTTTATGCTTTACTAATCTCATTTAATATACAAAAATATGTGCCTTGTTTGCTTTGTTTACAAGTAAGGGTTCCATCAAGAAGTTCAAGCAGATGATCAATTAAGAACTTGTGTGATTCATTCAACATGATTAAGATTTTCCTTTAATCAACAATCAAGTTCAAGCTCATTTCCATTCTAGTTCATCAAGCTCAAATCCATCTGGTACAGCAAATTAGAGTTTTGGTCCAAAGTAGTTACAAGTTGACTTTTTGACAAAGACATGATCTCATACCTCAATACGTGATTCAAAGGCCCCAATTACATCATGTTAGTCCATTCATGTGTTTGGATTAGCTCAAGAAATTTGATTTGTTGATAGTTGAAGAATTTGAATTCCTCTGATGAAAAGTCAATTATTGATCAAAGTCAAAGTTTGACTTTCAGAAATTTTGGAGTGGAAGATATTGATGTCCAAAGTTAGGGTTTCAAGTTGTGTGAAAACCCTAAACACTTAGAATTTTTTCTAAGTTTTTCACCTTACCAAGTGCATGACTTTGTGACCATTTTGTGATCAACTCAAGCATCAACTTTTCATGCCCAAGGGGTGTATTTAAAGATGACATTTCATAATTCGATATGGTGGAAAGATTGAATCAAAATCTCATGGGAATTGGAAGTTATGAAGTGTCAAAGTTGAGACATCATAGTTGTCGTTTGTGGTGATTTAAATTTTTATCGATGGGGGCGTAGAGTGAAAAGAAGAAGATGTTCACTTGTAAAGGAAGAAACAGGATAGAAACATTTTCTTTTGTATTATATTTTTAAAATAATTAACCAAAACGACGTCATTTTAACTTTTTAAAAAATATATATTTAACAGTTTTTTTAGTTTTTGACTATTTCTCATTAATTCAATAGTATATTGGATCCAACAATTAGACCTGATTAAAGACCTCGCTGATTACCTATTCAATCAATTTAACCAACGAATCCAATCTTTAAAACATTGATAATAAACAAATATTATTAATATTTCATTGTTATTGTAAAACAACATATACTTTATCATAATTTTTTAAAATGAATTATAACAAGCAAAAAAACGGATTGAGTATATCATATTTTAATTTTAATAAATATACTTTAAAAAAATTAAAATTTTATAGCAAATAGTTTATAATTAAAAAATTGTTTTAATAATTTTGAAAATGCCTTTTATAAAATTATGTTTTAAACATTAGACAAAATTATTTTCCCTCTAAACTATATCTTTAGATTTAGATTGATATTTTTTTTGTCTAATTGATTTTTTAACTTTTTAAAATATATCATATTAGCCTTTTGTGTCTAATCAATGATGAAAAAATTTAAAAATTATTCGCTAAATTTATTGTTAATTAATTAAAAAAGAGTAACATGATATATTTTATGAGTTAAGAACCAATCTAACATGAAAAAAAATTAAGAAACAGCCTAAACCCAAATAATTAAAAGAAGTATTTTTTTTCT